TCAATGTATTACTACCAACTGTACTACAGGGTAAAATATCTCGCTTTCCCTTTGTGTAGGCTAATAGTATAACTTTGGATAACACCAGGAATCAACACAGTACCAATTTGATGAGGCTAGTTATGGAAGTAAAATGTGCCTGATGGGGGATGATAATGAGTGGTGAGAAATGGCTTTGATTAATACTAGTATCCTTTCTATTTAATTAATGACTGGGGAGTGACAGCTCTGTTTAGCACAACAGAAAGAGAATAAACACATGAAATAAAACACAACTCGTGATGCTGTTTAACAACAAAATACAAATATATGATCCATAATGCCAAGGAGGTTGAATATTTATTTTTTTTCAACATAAATTTCTATTTAGATATATGGAAATAGTAAACCTTAATCAAACCAATGCCCTCTCAGTGACAGGTATGATCAATGACCTAATGTCCTTCGTAATATGATACCAAGCTCCTTGATAATACTACATGTAGTAACGTTACAGTGTATATAATTTGATGCTGCTCAACCCCATTCTGGAATGGAATCACCCGGTCGCGCGTACATTTCAACGACGCCCCCACCCCCAAAACACACACACACACACACACACCTACGTACTAGTATAGGAATATACCACCACCAAATCAAATGTATTACAAAGGCAGTTGATATTTTACTACCGAAATCTTCTTTTGGCTGCTAGCCACCTATCCAAACATATTCAGTGGCAGCTATTTGCGAGGAGAAAAGAGACTGAGCAGCATATGTAGACCTTAACGTTATATGCAGCAGCTACTAAGTGTACAGTTCAGTGGTATTTTCACATGTGCGTTGTAGCAGGAGAAATTACAAATCCTTTCGCAACATACGGGTATCCCAATTTGCGACAGAGTAATCACATTCTGTGCATATTCTTGACATTATTGAATTACTAGTACTTGTTCATAAATATTTTTTTCGTTCATGAAAGCAGCCCAGTCGTGCCTCACGCGGATAAACTGATAACCGTACGGACTGAGAGTCCAGTGAGCTAGTTACTAACCTGCAGAATATGTAGCCTGTAAATTGTCCATGAATCGGTCCAGGTGAGTAGAGATGAAAATTATAGAATAAATTCTCACAGGCCGTCCATTTTCATCCAAGCCTACCGCAAATCTAGTTTCGCATTATCTCGCGGCGGAGTTTACAACTCTCTCGAGGACTGCACCGTTAGATTTCTATAGTAAAGCAGTGAGGTTACTAATAACGGCCACATCCTAGGATACTAAGATAAGCCTCTTAGCTTACTAGTTACTATATAACGGTGGTCACCATTAGTAAGTAGTTACTATATATGGTATGTGTATCGGCTCAAAAACACGGGGCAAATCGGCTTTGCAGTATGCACTGAATTGCGGCAAATCTTACAATCCACATACTCATTAAAACTAACACAGTATGCTATCATAATACATATACAAGAATAATATTATACAAGTAACGTGCAATGTTGTCAACATGGCTTTCCAGCTCTCCGAGAGCCTCCGAAATCAGGTAATTTATGGCTGAAAATTACTGAACTTGCGATGGCTGCACTGATGATTCTGATAAAGATATGGATAAAACGTTTATATTACCACATAGCATAGCTTTTCTAGTTTTACAGACCCAAAGTTCAAGAGGACACCTTGAAGTTAAGAGGGTGTGACAGGGGGTTACCGGAACCAATGAAAGCATAATTTTCATCTCTATGCATTTTAGTCATCTTTAAGGCGCATTATCTCATATGGGCAGTGGCTTTGGTGAATGGTTTTACTGTGGTTTGAGAGAGGAACATCTACTGATTCAAAAACAAGCGTCGTTGGTTTGGGCCATACATAACGCGAGCTGTGACTGGGGGGTCTTTGTGGGGGATTTTCAGGTTGTGGACTATACTAAATCGGGCAATGACTTCTCCATACTGGGTACGCTTGGGACAATGTGGGCATGTCGATGTGTGATAATCATTAGAAAATTATCGAAGAAGCTTTGATGAATTGGGGATGTTGATTTGGGCTCTATATGGGGGATATGGGGATACCTGTAAATGGAACTAGGCTAATATTACACATTTTTTGTTCTTCTCTTAGCTGTATATAGCAAATAAGTTCCTTACTAACATATTGTGTACATCAAATTTGTGGTAGATATCAAAAGGATCTACATGGGGGTTATGAGGACTCCAGAAATGGAGATGCCGTTAAATACAGGTGCCAAATGAAGCAGACCTCTGAGCTAAGTTGTACATATTGGCACTTCTAAACACAAATCTAAAAGGAAGACCAGAAGAAGAGGGCTGGATACATATGAAAAATACCATAGCAAAAACAATGTATGAATGCTATTAGTAGTTACATGTGCGTTTCTTAAATAATGAGGGGTTAGTACAGGTATGCTGCAGTGCTATTACCAACCTGCGATGTGCCGATTGACTGTTGCGTAGCATGCACAATATATCTGATCATACATTGGTTTATATATTAGCGGTATCTCATTTTCAATTAATGTACAAAATAATGGGACCCATTTTTTTCTTCTTCGAGCGAGTTAGAAGTTTCGGCAGGCGAATGGATTTTCAGGAAAACATGCGAAGGAAGTTTAATGATTAACATAAGGGATCTACTCAGCTCGGGAGTAGGCAGCAAATTTTACAGTCTAATATAATCAATGTATTCTAACCCACAAACATGCATCAAAACCTCCTCTGGTCTAACACCACCCTTCGCCAGTGACAGAGGTGTGAGGCAGGGCTGTAACCTCAGCCCGACTCTCTTCAACCTGTTCATAAATGATTTAGTCAAGATGTTAGATAGTCCAGAATGCGTTCCACCCTCCCTACAGAATTTATCAATTTCCTGATTACTCTATGGAGTTTATGTCGTACTTTTTCTCGGAAACCGAGAAAGGACTTCAATGTGCCTTTGACAAACTAAACACTTTCTGTACAAAATGGAAACTCCAAGTTAACCTGAAAAGACCAAAGTTGTAATTTTTAACAAAACAGGGCGCATATACTAGTACATAAATACAAAATTCCTGCTCGATTTAGAAAATATAGAAATTACTACATCCTACTGCTATCTAGGTCTGTTTTTGTACTCATCTGGCAGTTTCTCACTAGCTCACTAAGAAACAACTTGCTTTAAAAGCCCGCAAATCTGTTTTAGCATCAAATCTCTTATCCGCTCACAAATCTCATTGAAATATTTATGAAGGATTTTTTAAGGATGTTATGTGGTTGCGAAATCTGGGGAAAAGATTTTTCAAATGACAACTGTCCATAATCGCTTCTGTGAAAAAATCATGGTGTACATTAAAACGCTAGCAACGGAGCATGCAATGCAGAACTTGGTAGATTGTCACTAGACACAGACGTATCGGTACGCCTATTCAAGTAAATTTTTTGGTTAAGACTGAGACAACATATGTTAATGCATGGTCACAAGAAAAATCTGCTACACCATGTGAAAGAAATACTTGACCGGAGTGGCTTCTCATATATCTGGCATAACGACAACGTTGATGTCGATAAGCAACACATAATTATGTACATTGCTTAGAAGTAGACTTTCTGACATGTATATCCAAACCTTTCTTTATAATCTCTCTGTTGATGCCGGTAAGCGAAGATTTTATAGACATCTGAAACCTGTATACACAATGGAATGTTATCTTCACATCAAACACTTCGATGTTAGATCAGCCATATGCAAGCTTAAAGTTAGCGCACATACATTAGAAATAGAAAAGGGTACATACAAACAATTGTCTGTTATTAAAAAAACAACAGAATATGTATTACTAAATATTGCACAGGATCATGCAGTGGAGGATGAAATGCACTTTATTTGCTATTGCCCTCATTAATTATAGCACTTAAAGGGATAAGTTATTCTAAATGGTCACCAAAATGTTCCCTAGCTTTATTTACCTTCCCAGCCTTCAAAAAACTGCATTTCTAATAACACCTCCCAATTCATACATCTCGCAAAATGTCAGTCATTTTATACTCCACTGTACACGGAAATGAAACCAACAATAACTACAAATGTATATCTAAAGTGGCATTAACATTACTTATTATCATTTTTACTGTTTATTTTTGTTATCCTGTTCTTTCAATTAGCCCTCGGGCATGAATTTGTAATAAACTTTCATTATTAATATCATACAGGTTTTAAAAAAATGTTTTTTGGTTAGGTATGATGAAAAATGGTCAAGTATAGTAACATACCATCAGTGTACTACTATGTAGTAAATGTCTATACAGCATATCTCTACTGATCTAGATTGAAAAAAGTTTAGGTACTAGCCTTAAGCACGCGATTGTTTATTGTTATCCTTTTTCTGAGTGAAATAACAGTATGCTCGAAGTACCATTACTTCCACGCGGCATGTAAATGACATCTCCATTCGTGTAGTCCTCATAACCCCCATGCAGAGCCTTTTCATTATCTAGCACAACGTTAATGCACATAATAATTTACCAAGGAACTTACTTGCTATCTTCAGCTAACAGAAAGCAATAAAAATGTGTAAAATTGGCCTAGTTCCATTTACAGGTATTCCCATATCCCCCATATAGAGCCCAAATCAACATCCCCAATTCATCAAAGCTTCTTCGATAATTGACTAATGATTATTACACATCGACATGCCCACATTGTCCAAAGTGTACCCAGTATGGAGAAGTCATTGCCCGATTTAGTACAGTCCAAAACCCGAAAATCCCCCATAAAGACCCCCCAGTCACGGCTCGCGTTATGTATGGCCCAAACCAACGACGCTTGTTTTTGAATCAGTAGATGTTCCTCTCTCAAACCACAGTAAAACCATTCACCAAAGCCACTGCCCATATGAGATAATGCGCCTTAAAGATGACTAAAATGCATAGAGATGAAAATTATGCTTTCATTGGTTCCGGTAACCCCCTGTCACACCCTCTTAACTTCAAGGTGTCCTCTTGAACTTTGGGTCTCTAAAACTAGAAAAGCTATGCTATGTGGTAATATAAACGTTTTATCCATATCTTCATCAGAATCATCAGTGCAGCCATCGCAAGTTCAGTAATTTTCAGCCATAAATTACCTGATTTCGGAGGCTCTCGGAGGGGGGTCCCAGATCTCCATAACGAAAAATATCTGGAGGGTTTTAAATATATGGCTGTTCATAGTTCCCCATACCTATCTCACATACAAAGTTTGAGTCGATTTGGCCGACCCCCATCTTCCGACCTCTGCCTGGTTTTCTCGTGCAATGACTCTTAAAGGTAAAATAAGATTAGAACTTTAACCTAACAACAGAGCTGAGAAATGTCCCACCTCTTGTCTGAATGGTACAGGTATCACCTGTGGGTCCAGTTGGAACATGTCTGGTACCAGTAAAGCCTTCATACCCAGGGCTAAACTATCCACATCTCTAGCCATTACACCAGGGGTTGAAATAACTAAAAGGGAAGAAGAGAATATAGCATTATTTTTGGGGTAAAGACTATTTAGGGTGTACAGTGCTGATCTACATGTAACCAAGTCAAACACTGGAAAGCTGCATGTGTAACATCTGTCCTTGGTGCTGAATGCTGAGTTCACTACAAAATACTTCAACTTGCAGAGAAAACTGTGGCAGCACTACAGCAATACGGCAGTACTACGGCAATAGCTTACAGAAGTATGTGTTTGAGAAAAAGAGTCAGTGTTAGCAGAACAGTATTTGTGAATTAAGCATGGTTTAGGGGACAGAAGCAACATTAGATGTTTAAGAAAAGGAGTCAGTGTTGGAAAATGCATGTGTAACATCTGTCCTTGGTGCTGAATGTAGGGTTCACTACAAAACACATCAACTTGCATAGAAAACTGTGGCAGGACTGAAGCATGGAAATAGCTTACAGCAGTACATGTTTGAAAAAAAAAGAGTCAGAATTGTTTGGGGAAAGTGTGAATTAGGCTCAGCACAGGTGACAGAAGTACCTGTTTGAGGAAAAGAGTCAGTGCTAGCAGGGGTGTTTGAGAAAAAGAAGAAGTTTAGAACACCACACTTACCTCCCTGTACTCCAGGAGAACCTTTCATCAAACCTCTGCCACTAAAAACAGAATAACAAGAAAGAGGCTACAACAAAGAGGCTACCATTGGCACCATCAGGTGAATTTAATCTTCCCATAACTAATCAAGAGTCATTTGAACATTTATAGCAATGTTCATGTCCATCCCTCCTGGCATGCAATGGAATTTCACCAAAAAATTAATCAGGAAAGAAGACAATGGCAAAATGTTTCATACACTTTTCATATACTACATGAAAATTGGAAATAGAAAACTATAAAAAGCTGTTCATGAATTCATTCAACGTACAAAATCTGCCACCCTTCAGTACCTGATTCTCTTGGCAGTTGGCTTGAGCCCACAGATTCCACAGAAGAGGGCAGGAGTCCGGACACTTCCACCGATATCAGACCCGAACCCCAGGAGCGACCCTCCCCCTTTGATCAATGCCGCCTCCCCGCCTGACGACCCACCTGGTGACCTCGTGGGGTCAACAGGGTTCAGAGTGTTCCCAAAGACAGGGTTGCTGCATGAGATACTGTATTATGGATGGAGATGAGAAGGATGAAAAATTGAAGTTAACTTTAGAATCTATTAATCACAATCAATCGTATCAATGCTTTGGATAGAATACCATCCATTTTTTTATGGCTCTTGGTGGCAAATGTTTTGATGTTGACACATTGGCATACCAAATCTGTAAAGTGTTTTTAGAACACAACTAGACAAATTAGCCTAAGAGGCTCGGTGGATGTCACTCCACGGTATAGGGAGGGAAGTCATGTAATGTGCCATTTCCAATGGCACAATGTCGGGCGAAAGTGAGTATCAAACCCGGGACCTACCGGTTCCAAGTCCAATGCTCTAACCATTGTGCCACCAATGCCACAGATTACCATCAATTAAGTCCAACATAATATATAAGTGGTTATGGTATCACCGTAATAAACTACAGTATCTAATTTTGTATTTAGTGATAATAAAAGATGATATATATTTGGTACAAATGCCTGCATTATTGCTGTATTTCATTGAAACATAATTACAAGAAATGGACCCATGAACTACACTATTGCTTCTGAGTCAATCCCAAAATATTCTCAATTGTCTAATTTCTACCTACCTGAGTAGAGTCTGTGGAATGTTGGTTTTGACAAAAGGCACGGCTCCTTGTTTCTTCAGCACCTGCACAATAACAGCATCTTCATCTGCAGGTGTGTCCAGGTGCTTTGTCACACCCATGGTGGTTGCCATGCCCTGGTCAACAGAATAGATGAATGTATGAGTGAATGAGTGAGTGAGTGAGTGACTGACTGACTGGAGAGATGAACTCTATACTATTGTGTTGTATTTTTCAGGTTGGAGATTCCAATCGGGTAGAATCAGGAAGAGATTCTGATTGCAGTCTCTGTCAACAGGTGAAGTGGGGTTGTGTGGCGTAAATGGTAGCATGTTTGGCTCAGGACCAAGAGGTCCCGGGAATCAAATCCTACCCATGCCACTGATCTTGTACCCTTGGGAAAGGCACTTTACACAACTTTCCTCAATTCACTCGGGTGGAAATGAGTACCTAGCTTCAGTTAAGGACGGCCCTCAGATAGGACGTTAAATGAAGGTAAAAGTATGTATATGGTATTAAAGGGGGTGACATCTGGCATTCTGATTGCATAATGTTTTCTTTTCAGTTAGGATACACATAATGTTGTACAGTAGAGTGCAGACCCCTACCTTGATATTGTAATTTTCCTTGATTGACACAGGAACACCATGGAGTAGTCCCAGGGGTTGGTCTGCTACATCCACATTCTGAGCCCTTACCTACATGATAAAAAAAACAGACCACAATAACAATTAAACTTATTAAGTTGATCGTTTTTTACATGAGCAGAATAATTTCAAATTGAAGTCATGAACATTCAAGTTTAGAAGATGGTATTATATGCCACACAACATTTTCATATAGGACACTGAATATGATGGAGTTTACAAACCAATGCATCTGGAACCGGCTCTGTAAGGCAGTTGATCTTATCATTCACTGCAGTTGCCTGAAGTGGAGGAAAACAAAAGAACATTTTCAGAATATAATGTTAACACACAGTAATCCTGTCAATGTTATCGTTGGTATCTAGTTCTTGATCTGAACTTGTACAATCTATGATCATGTTTCATTTCACTCCTGCTGTGAAAAATACCACTTTTTCGTAACTGTGGGACACAAGATTTCCCAGCCTTCAAAAAACTGTAATAAAAACATCCTACATATATATCTAACACTACAGACGAACCTTCTCCTGGAATGCCTGCAGCACCTGTACAGCTGACAGCTGTCCATCTCTCAGCTGCTGGCTGAGTTGGGGCAGAGGCAGGGACAGGATCTCTCTCCTTTTGGCTGCTGTTGTCTGTTTAATATAACACATAAAGTATTGGGTAATAAAAGATCATAGTTGATATTTAGCACTTGTTCCGAACAGAACAGTAATTACTAAAACATTGTCACTTGTCTTGCATAGCTTTACAACTTTCTTTCCTTAAATTAATCAGTTAATATGGTACATTTGTCCAAATTCTATCATTGCCAATGACACTTGAGCTAAAAAAATACAGAATTGGTGTGTTGTACTACATGTATAACTTAATTTTACTGTTTATTTGAAATGTTGTCCCACCCTTAACCTTAAAACAGTGCTAGTATATTCATTTCCCTTTGTTATTTAGTTGCAGACTACCAAATGTATCAATATCTTTCTGTGTTCACTCTTGCGGTTCATTTGTACGTTGCGCATTATCTTTTTAGCGAACGCCCACGAACGCCCGGTTGCGTATGCAGACTGCTTTTACCACCCCCAAATCGTACTAGGCTGCTTTTTCCGCCGATTGGACTGGACTTTGTTTTCCGCAAACCCGCATTTTGAAATGCATACGCCGAGGCGACGAAGTCGTCGCAGCGCATATTTTGCCGAAAAATGAGTACTTTAAAAGCTTGTAAAGCACGGACACTTCTCAGAAATTCAGCGGAGTCCTATATGAACATGTTTGTGGTGGTGGATTTTGCCGGCGTTGCGCGAGGGCCGATATTTTGCAAGGATTACTGGGCATTCCTTTCAAACCCGGAAGTAATAAAGTGGGTATTCGCCAAGAGGAGAAAAAAGCAGTAAATTTCGATTTATTTAAGTTCGGCTCCATGGATTCGCTTCAAACTTGGTCCGAACACGCGGATGCACACTCTGGACATGATCACACAAAAAATTTAAGATTCGTGCGACAAATCCTGGGCGTTCGTGGACGTTCGCTAAAAAGAGAAGCCCGTACGTTTCACCCCTAAAGTTGGACTTTGCTCTTGTTATGGTTGACCTCCGTTTGCTCCCGCGCTAACAATTTAGCCCCATTTTACCACTTAAGTCTTGCTAAATCGGTGCAAAATTAGTCGAAAACCCACTGAAAGGCAGAGGTGGCCGAGGAAGATCTACACAGGCCAAACCTCTGTGAGATAGGTACCGTGGAACGACAATTTATACTATGAAGCACTCTCTGCGATCTCACCCCATCGTCAGTTACCACAGATCTCTGAACGTCTTGCAAGGCTTTCCGACTTTCTTCCCTCTTCTTCAGGGCCTTCTTCTTCACCTGCTGTCTCCTGTAGACCTTCAGACCGACATAACAGCTCAGAACGCCAGCTGATACGGCTGTATAAGTGACTACAGAAGTATTCACACTATCTACTATAAGGTTGTACACCCTATCCATGTTGCGTGGTTCTGTGTATAATTGACACAGTGTAAACACCCTCAACAGTTCAAAGGGCATAAGTCGAAGTTAAGAAGGAGGCATGGGTTTTGTGTACTGCTGCGTCGTCTTCCATTGCTTGCAAAACAGAAGTCAATAAAATAAAATTATAAATTATCAAATTTTCACGGTTGTACCATTCATTCTGAAGGGGACAATCCCGATGGTGTGTGAAGGAAGCCGTTTCAGTACCAAGGACATGTCCACTGTTGGCAACATAACTTTTTTACTTTTACGTATTCTGCATTACAATGTTATTTCGCTAAGCGACGCTGTTTCACTGCTGGTAATACCACCGAGTAGAAGTACTTAGTAACACAAGTTAAAGTTTTATTCAGCTGAATATCTTGAATAACGCTGAGGAAAAAAGGAGGGGCTCTAGATCTATTGGCCCATACCAAGTGTCTTGAGTTGTGAGGCAAAGAGTTGCAAGGCATTTTGGTTATACTTTTCAAAAGACTAGTCCCAAGGTTTGTGCTGAATGCAATAAGAATATTGAAAATTTTGATTTCGATCAGCAAAAAATAATGTCACTGTTTCTTCATGAATATGAATATTCAAACGTTCTCCTATCAATTGAAACCCAGGAGAACCCCTTATTACTTCACCCTTACGGGATTTTATTGTTGAAATTTTGAACATTCACACACACAATCAATGTACTGACCAACGGTAGCAAACACGCCAACGCACCCAGCTCCCTGAACTACTTTCTCCCAGCGGAGGTATCAAAGCTGAGTAAACAAAACCCCCCATCACAGTGAAAGGGGAATAAATGATATTGTAAATACCTAAATCGCCACTCAGGGTTTTAGACTGGAACAAAAGACGCTATTGAGCATGCGGGTGCCACAGGTGTCTATACTCGGTAAAGTAGACTGATACATTTTGTCTGAAAAGAACCAACAGATGTCTGGGAAATAATGGCGAACTTTGCTTCCCATTCAAACCATTCACGGCAACGAAAATGACCCAACGGTAATTGCTTTTCTCCAAGGATGAAGCTACACTCCCTTGGGTTTTGTGAAGACATGTGTATGCTATAGATACCCAAAGCAAATTTGAACAAAAAGTTTACTTTTTAAATTTGATAGGAGTACGTCTGGTATTAATAAAAAAGATCCTGGTCAGTCGCTTTCCTACTCGTGACGATTATTTGAGTAGCCTCTACCAGGCTTTAGAAGCAGCAAACTTTTTCTTTTTCTTTTCTATGAACTCACCAGGCTATTTGGCCAATTTATACTATTCCGGTCAGTCGCTTCTGAAGCCTGGTAGAGGCTACTCTTAGACTCGTAGTCTTTTGCTAGTATGACCAACGAAAGAAAAAAGTCTTTTAGTTCAGTTGCTATCTTGCTTTTAGTGTGGCACCACAGATATCTGCATCAGATATGGCAAAATATGAGCGCTTCACCCGGGCTACAGTTTGAAGAACAGATAGTGGGACAGAAAGGGAAGAATAAAAGAAATGGCGCGTTACTTGTTGTTGTTTTGTTATTATTATTTACCATTGTACTTTGCTGTACCTTCCTTTGTCAGTAGTGGGGCTAAGATTTGCAACCTGCTGGAGTTGCCCACTACTGTGCCTCTGTAAGTTTCTCAATAAAAAAAGAACTAAGCTGGATAGAAGTTAACGAATGAAAATCGAATATGAACTAGAAAAGCAAGCTAACCACAGTAACAGCAACATCATCAAAAGGTATATCTGTCTTTCATCGTTTTGCTGACTACACACTTTTTATTGGAGATTTAACTGCGCACCATCCACACCAAACAAGGCGTGAGCGGACGTTCGAACCCGGCTTACATCCCAAAAGGGAAGCTTTTGGGCGTAAATTGAGCGAAAGAATTTAATGTCTGATTCGATCGTGAGACCGCGGAAGCCGATTGATCCTGTTATACGGACGAATCCTGCGATAAAAAACACATCGTGTCTTTGTCTGGTCCTGATCCACTCTTCTCTAGCCACTGTAGACGCATAGGGTCACGAGTCGCCCTAATCTGGTCCAACCGCTGTTGTCGCACAGCCAACAGTTTTCGGATGAAGTCTTTCTAACGAGATTTTCGGCCCATTTTGAGGCCGTCAGCGCTGGGATGACGGATGAGTTCCCCGGGCTCAGCTTGCCCGAATTAAGCGCACGTTGAGATAACTTTATTGCCTCCGCCAGCGCTCGGCTTTGTTCGGGGATCACGTCGTTAATTGGATCGTCATCGGACGGAATTTGTGTTCCTGTGGTCTAATGAGATTATACGTGTTGATCAGTGTTGTGAGAGGCGCCGGTGCGAGCCGTGACGGCGGGGATTACCGTCAAACTTTACCGGGGGCCTGCATGCCCTTTTCCGATAGAGCATAATCGGCCATTTTAATTCTACCTAGAGCGTAGACGGACCGCTCTAATTCAACGTAGAGTGAAGTTGGGCGCATTTTGCGTAGAGCATAATTCACCGTTTTAATTCTACAAAAAGCGTTGTAGCTACCCGGAATTTATTGTAAAACGTAATGGGGAGACTTCTTTAGTTCAGCGTAAAACGTAGCTGGCTCTGAAAATTTACCGTAGAGCGTTGTCGGGACACCCCCATGCAGGCCCTCTTTACTGCAGCACCGAGAAAGACGATAAACCGTTTGGCGGGAGGAAGCGGCTTTGCACGGGGACTAGAGACTCCAAATCAGTGCTTCAATATTGGCATTGTTGAGACGCAAAGATTACAGCAATTTCATCTTACTTTATGGAGGGACTTACCAGGGGAAAAGCCAATAGAAACTGCGTCTGTAGATCGCATGAAACAAGTACTGAAGACAGACCAGCAAACTTTTCAGTAAAAGTAAATGATGTCTTTCGAAACTACGCCAGTTGTGTGCTTGAATGACTTGAATTGAACCTTTCCACACAGAGCTTCAAAGAGATACTTTAACTAAAAGTAATGGTGTGAATTTCTTGAACTTTTCATAAGAAGCATATATTTGCATTTCGCTGTCACCATGGTAACGTAAAAGACATTTATAATCTATCTAAACTTCATTTCATAACCTATAGACACATATGTATACAAACGTGCGTAGATACGCACAATATGCAAAGTACGTTATAGATAAGATATATAAAAGTTTATCTTTTCTAGACATTTGACTAGGCTGCTGAGTAGTAGCCTTCTAAAACTCAACATTACGTTTCAGATCTTGACATTTTTATGTGTAAAACATGGGAAAATAGTTCACCTGTTCTAGTTACAACATTTGTACAGTTTTCAAATCTTGACATTTTATGTGTAAAATAGTGGAAAACAGTTTACCTTTTCTAGTCACAAAATTCGTTTTCAGATCTTAATATTTTTATGTGGAAAACAGGAAAAATACCGTTTCACCTGTTCTAGTTCAAAAATTCGCAGAGTACCCGTACAGACCCACCAGTGCGCTTATTTAGACACATACCGACTTTCCCAGAGCCGATCGGGGGGATTACGATTTTCCGGCCCGTTCCATAATGAGATTAGGGGGTTGCAGGCCGATTTTCCCGGCTAATGTGGGCGCGAAAAATCTTATCATGTCGGTGCATGACGTGATCCATCATGGCGGCTGTCAGGCGGGAAAAAGCACGCACCACAAGCCTCGCTGTGAGATGTCCGGACCGATGCTGTCAGGTATGTTTTTCATTTGCATGTATTCATATCATATCATATCATAGACACAGTTTCATAACACAAGTGGACTAAAGAAATGGGGGAAATCAAACATAGAAATCCACAGAAATTCAGAATAGGAATTGCCATAAATGGAAGATTAATTAAGCGCACACTGCTGAATATCTTGTAAAATATACATTTATGAAGTTTTTATTTCCTCTGAATATTTCTTTATTTTTTGACAGTCTCGTTCCCGGAGCAAAGCATTCATTATCCTGGGTACGAGAGTACCAGCAGTCTACAAGTGGTTGGTAGCTGCGCATGCGTATATATCTCAGGTGCGATGGACAATCGACTCGTATGTCACTGTTTACCGTCTCACTCATCAAGGCTTAATTTGTAGGGTCGCGGGAATCGAACCCCAAACCGTTGGTCAGCTCTCGTCACCTGCACCCTGTATCCTAACCCCAACCCGAAATCGATTGTCGTCGCACGCGTAATCACCTGTTTGGGTGCGAATATCGATGTCAGAAAGACAACAAACTTTCCTGACGCAGAACACACACTCAGTCCAAACATGGCGGCCGTACAGCCCACATCTGGCCCCTCCACACATGTGGCCCGGACCCCGACACGTACTATTGTTTTAACCTTAAAATAAATACACCGGTGATAATTTGTTTTTCTTGGCTGTTTGTGCAGGGATCTGCGGAGTTCAGTGCCACCCAGCGGTCGGACGGGCCGCAAGAAACTCGGGGCCAAACTAGCCGGTCGTCATGGCAACGGCTGTCGTCATGGCAACGGCCGAGCTCCTCCGCGATGTTTGGATCGGGTCAGAGACCTGGGAGAACATCATGTCTAAACGTCGTGCCGTGGAGGGGAAATAATAGTTCATTGACTTGACTTGACTCTATATTGGTATCCACATTTAGCATACATGTTCAAAACAGTAGTTATTTTTCCGTGGACCTTTCTAGCACACAACACGACACACAGGGAAATATACGAAATATGAATACATTACAATTGACAACAATAGTGAAATAATCAACATTGGAACTACAGACGGAAAATATTGTATGAATGAATGAATGGGTGAACGAACGAAGGAAGACTGTGCAATTAGCGCATGCATTAGTTGTAGAAAACAATGAGGGGAAACCAAAGATTGAATGAAAGAATGACTGAATTAATGAGCGCATGACAGAATCAATGAACGTAAGTGCTATCATAAAATTGTCACTGTCTTTGTAATTTATACATCGCATCGAAGAAAGTAAGAGCAAAATGACTTTTACACCTGACAAATAAGGAAACTAGTGAGTGAATTTATGAATTAATAAGGTAATGATGTTTGCTGCATAGTTAATGGTCGTTCTTAATTCATCAAAATAC